GCCAGAAGAGCTTTAAGTGATTATATTTTGTTATATACATGTACCGCGCACAGTATCGTGTCTCCCGATATTCTGAGCCTTGACGCCGCCATCGTCATTACTGCCAACTGAAGAGTCTTGGGTATTAGAAGAAGCCTTTTACACAGCCACCTGGGCCCTCCAGGTGAAATGTCAAAGGTTAAGCTGAACCCTGGATAGCAGATTCTGTGGGGATGCTTCCTCTCTAACAAACTATCCTTGATCAACAGTGTCGGTATTATGCAGAGGCATACATGTACGTACGTGTACGTTTCATGTTAATGTCAGAGTACGTTGTGTTCTCCACATCAGTTTATTTGCGCTGTTTCATTATTTTGCACGATCCGCAGATTATATACACTTTTTGGGGAATATGTACTTTGAAAACAAGGTTTGGGTTTTTTTGGCAGCTGCTGTTTTAAAACAAAAAAACAAAAAGTTCACCCAATTTCCTCAATAAAATCTGCAAGAAAGAAAGAATTAAACAATCTGAAACAAATCTTTTTGTTCCCCAAAATGACTAGTGTAAAATGGCAATCGATTAATATTCTTCATTTTTTCACTTTGTGAAACCAAAATACATGAATATTGAATCCGAAATACATGACTTTTGTCTTAAAAATCAGACTATGTACCGGTATGTGTAAAGTGCATTTACACATACCGGTACTGTAGGCAGTTTTTTTTTAATTTCTGTAATTTTACAACAAACCAACCATAACTCAACCAAAACAAAACTTTTCCTTAAAACAGGAATTAATTTAAAAGGAAGTTTGATAATAAATTCTAGATATGATTGTGAAAATTACATGTACAGTGTATGTGTAAAGCATACACTGTGCATTGTACATGTAAGTTAACGGCACCATATACATGTGCATTGATGGCCAGACCAGCTGTCCATTGTTTCTGTTTATAGTAACAGAAACTCTTATTTCATTTTCAACAAAACGTATTTTTCATACGTACATTAACATAAAGCATGGATTGAGGTATCATGTACATGGAAACAAACCTGCAATGCTGTTAACCTGTCATACACGCACATCTGTTGCTCTCAAACTAACAAAATAATGTGGGTACATTCACATGTAGTCTTATGTATGCAATTAACTTTATTCCTGTTTTGAAATTGAAAACAAAATCCAACACTATTGGTGCAAAAAGTGCTAGAACACGACGTGCATATTGCCAGTAGGATTCTTGTAAGCATGTTCTAATTGCAAACTTGTCAGGTTTTCATGGGTGTTTGCTTCAAATAAATCAAATACTAGAAACAATCCAAAGCTATACACAAACACAAACATGTATCTTGACATGAAAAACTAAATATTGGATTAATTTAAGTGATACAGGTACATGTAGGCCAACATTACATGCACATGTATTAAACCTCAAACCAACGATCCTCTGCTCAAACCAAAACTCATTGACCTTGACCATTAATGTGTATACAAAAACACTGTAGGCATTACATGTACGGTATGTACATGTACATTGTACATGTATGTTCAACTTGCCTGCACAAACACCTTTTGCAGTCCAGAACTATAAATCCCACCCACCAAAAATGGACTTGTCAGAAAGAGCACATCCGGAGTACCTACATGTACTTAGCTATAATAGCTGATTTTAATCATTCCACAGTGGAACTTAAAACACATTTCTCTGTTTATTTTCAGTGCCCAGACACAAGGATAAGATTTGAGACTGGGAAAGCAAATACTGGGCAAGGACATTGTAGACAGCGGGGGTGCAGCATGGTAAACAAGCAAGGTTAAAGTCTGTCAGCTTTCATCATGGGTCTCCGCTTACTGGTGTGCAAAACCTTAAAGCAGCCTTAGATTTGGAAATTGGATCTGCCTGATGGATTTTTCTAGGACACCCAATGGAATAATTGAACATTTTGTGAAGACGGGAGTTCTTTTTTTAAATACTAGAGACAGATGAGTTTCTACCCGGCCTGTGCCTTGTCACCTAATCATAGCGATGAAAATAATCATATTGCTGAATGTTAAATCATTGATGCTCACAATCCACAAACTTGAAAACAGAACTGAAGGTCAGTGTTTGTCTGGCCAGTACTGACCATCCCCACTGGGCCCTGTTAATGACCACCACAGCCTTGAAGCTTTGAAGCCCTGCAGGGCAGCTTGAAAGAAACTGTGGAGAGGTTCAACACCATCTATCTCTCGTCTGTGGGATTTGTACTAGTACTGCAGCAGGTCAGAGTGTGGTTGACGCAAGGTGCTTAAGTGAACAGCATTGGATTGCCAGTACGTTCTATGAGTCATAGTTAACTGGAACAAGTTGAAGTACGTGTAATTTAATTTGAGGCCTGCTGCATCACTGAGACTATAACATTCCCGAAAGAAGAGCAGTCACAAGGAAGCCCTTTGTCATCAGGTAAGGAGATTGGATCAGTTGTTTAACCTCAAAAAAACTATCTCCCTGCTCCAAAATTGTTTTGACTGTTTGCAAACATTGGTTTGCCATTTTGTTTTCTCCTGTGCCAAATCTTAGCCAATCCCAAATGTATGGATCTTTCTTTCAGGTTGAACTAGAAATCGCCCATAATTGGCACAAAGAGTCTGTACCCAAAATAATAAATCTCAGCATCCAAGGGAGCGGTACATGAACTAGCATTGATCTTTATGTACGTGTGTAGGCCTAAATGAAGTATTCTGCAGCATATTAATATAAATTACATGTGCTTTGAATTTTGATGATTTTTATGCATACATGTGTTGAATTTTAACAGCAACCTTATGATACGGAAATGTTTGGCAAAAACATGTACACCAATGCCTTTTATACAAATGAACAAAAGAGCGATGTTGTGCTTGGCAGGAACTGTGGTCAAAGTTGTTTAATTCCAAATAGATGAAGGTTTTGTTTTGCAAAGGTCTGGTTTTTTTTATGCAAGTACATATAGTTTTTCCTTCATGTGTGGAATTGAGGTGGGGCATGACATGATCCATGGAGAGAAGCACATGTAAACAGAATTCAGCGTCATGTTTCAGGTCAATTTTATTGGTGCTGAAATGTATCATATGAACGTTAAGTTCATAATTGATTCGTCCTAAACTTTTCCAGTACCCTATTCAGCAAGTCCTTTAATTAATATGGTATAACAATAACAGTTTTCTCAGATGGAAGGAAATGTACACGTGCTTTGCAGATGTAGAGTTCAGTACGTGTACATATACAGTCATTTGTAAAAGATTAGGACAACCCGACCTATACAAAATTCATTAACCTGAAGAAAAACCAAACTTTAATTAATCATAGCAACTTCTGTTTGTTTTCTATATGTAACCTTAGTATCTTGGTTAAACAGATATTTGACTGCATTTCCATAATTTAAAATGTTGACAGTTTAATACATGTGTGTATTTACCGTAGTGTGCCCTCCTTTATTTCTGATTACTTAGATTGGCTTCGCTACCCATGCTGCCTTGCAGACAAAATGTCATACATGTATAAGACCAGCCTTTGCAAATAATGCCATTCCAATGAGTACGTAACACCACACTCATGTTATGCACCACAATAAGTAATCCTTCAATGAGACTTGTAATGCAGGCCCAGTGACAGAAAGACCAATAAAATTCCAGGTAGTCTTAAACTTTTGCAAGTGACTGTAGATGATGAAAGCACGATGAAATAATAATTTCAAAATCCAAAAAGGGTGTCTCACTCTTGTCAGATATTGCAGAGCCAAGGAGCCAAGGATATTCCCACAAAATATGTTTATGTCTGGGCATGAAATTTGCCAGGTAGGCCCTTGAGCACAAGCACAAAATGTGGGTAGGAAGCATTTCCGTTTGCACATCCTTCAGGAAGCTCAACTTTCAGTGGCATCCATGGGTAGTATTCAAACCTGTCATTAACTGGAATTCTTGGTAAATGTTGCCAAAAATTGCTTGCCTCTTCAAGTTCAGCTGGTGGACAACTGGGGCAAACCGCAAAGAGAATCGAGGTCAGAAGAGGTACATGTAATTTGTAAAAACTTCCTGTGACATCACTGGTTATTAAAGTGGAATGAACAGTGCCTTGCTCTGGTCAAATCTCTGGGAGGCCAAAGAGCCCTCTTGTAGTTCATGTGTAGGACCTATCGTAGAGTTCCTCTCTTGGAATGATGATACATGTGCTGTTATGTGTACATGTGTGCAGTAAGATTTTTATGCAGTAGAAAGAGGAAAACTGAAAAGGAAGAGATTGTATGATACTTTTGTTTGCATTCAATGTGCAGGCAATTTTACTGTTGGCAACACTTGCTCACTTTTGTGACAACAATTTCCCGAAAAACAAAGTCATTGAAAAAAATGTAGCATTTTTGACTTGGCACATACACTGTACATATGTTGAGTAGAACAGTGACTATTAAAAGATATTATGAAGGATGAAGCCCTTGTTTCAATGTGCAAAAGGGGCTGTTTATTTACATGTATGCACTCGCATGTCTTTCGTTTTCCCCTCTCTTTAATTTATGTACCGGTACATGTATGTCCTCTTTGCTCATGGTAGTATTCAGGCTCCAACGTTTGGCAGGATAAATGGAGTTTGGTGAAAACATCTGCAAAAATTTACCACTGTAGGACATTTTACATGTTGATGTAACTACAGGTGTATATTCATGTATGTGACTATCCCATATGCAGCAAGGTATGAGACGGAGAGAACCCCCCCTGCTTTGTGTTGGTCATTTTCTCGCAGGAATCTGGGGAATTCCTTTCAGACATCTTGGGGGGGGATGTGTTAAGTAACAATAGTCTGGAATGTGTATAGGGATCGGACATGTTGGGGGGGTACCCCTCGGTCTCATTTCTTGCTGGGTATAGACTATCCCGAAGAGTGATATTCCCTCAGAGTTGACCCTGATCCTCTTCCAAAAAGTGCAAACTCTGTTTTTTTGTCGTTTCCAACCCCCCCCCTACTGCTGATAAAGAATTTGAACACAGTTTGTGTTTGCTTATTTCTTGTACATGTACATGCCAAGTGACCTTGTCTAGTTTGGGGCTTTGAAGTTTACTATTGTACCAGTACATTGTTCACAACCTGCATACAGTATTTACTCTTTGGATAAAACTTGTATGGACATGTACCTGAGAAGCTGCCTTTATCAGTACTTGACAAATTTTGGTTTCATGAGACCATACCACAATTTCCTTGAACCCTAATCCCTAGGGTGTAGGTGTATATGTACATGTACATGTGTAATCTATTCTGAAAGCGGAGGATTGAGGACTGTTAATGTTAATATAAGTAATGAAATGTGCCGGTGGAGGTCCTAGCACCAGTCCAGTATCGTGCTCAAAGCCAATAGGATAATAAGTTGACAAACTTGTTTAGAACATTGGTAATTTTGTTACCTTTTTTTTAGCATAATGCCCACCTTTTTGTTGTATGCCACTGTGTGCTTAAATACTTGTCAGCAAGTGTGCTTGCAAGAAAACTTGAACTGCTTCAGTCGAGGTTTACCAATTGACTTTGCAACTCCTGGTGTCTAATGTGATAGTGAAACATCATTTGGGACAGTTGTTTATGGTTGAAACAGAGTTTATAATTGCTGAAGATTGATATCTCGAAACTGAAAATGCACCCAAACTGTAAATCATTTGTTGTACATGTACGTGTAGCGGTATGTTCAGTGCCTACATATCATGTACATGTACAGACATGATGTGCGTGTACACTCAATGCTCGAAGGCTCAAAAAGAAGTTGTTCTCACTTGTACATGTACATGTACTCAAAATGGTATCTTTTCTGAAAGGTGCTGCTGCTTGGTACTGTAGATATTTTACAATGTCTTACCATTTAACCCCAGTGCCGGCAATCACACAGAAGGTGAATTTGTTATTGACTTATATCCTTGAAAAATCATTTCCACATGTTTATTGACAATGCAAATTAAATATGTCAACGTGCAGATGGTGCCTATTATATGACTCACCAAATTCATGGCGCCTTGCTAATACAAAAGACCTTTGCTAGGAACTACTCCTATGCAAACTAATGACCCATCATGGTGCAGTTGTTAGCTTGATATGCACAGGTGACATGGGACTCCTGATTTATGATAACCCTACAGTCCATGTGAAATTATTTATGCAGACTTCATGATCTCTCTCATGTATTAACTTAGTCTATAGTAAATTTCTGTTATTTTTTCCCAATAATTCAAGTTGCTTAATACATTATTAAGTTGTCCCCATTGCGAGTGATGGGCCATACATTTTTCAGAGTGAGTCATCTTCCACATTGCCGGGGAGTCTTAATTGAAGCAAGTCTACTGTGTGCATACATGTACAGTGTATATGTACATGTACATACACATGTACATGTGTTTGTACTCCTTACTGTAAGTAAGAAGATGCCAAAAAACCTACATGCATCCCTTTTATGAATGTTATTTAACACGGAATCGAACAGGTACTTTGAACATATACCAGTACGTATGTACTGTACATGTACGTACAATACTATACCTATGCAATCTACGGTACATGTACCGTACATGTATCTGACTACTGTACATGTATGTACTTGGTTGGATATTGTCTGATGTGTGTTCATTATTGTTTTGGTGAATAATTATATGTTAGACTTATTGAGGTTATTAACAATCAGTGGTTGACCTTCATTTGCACATGAACATTCTAGTAGGCCTACATGTACCGGTATTTACATTGAATTGAATTGCTAATAGAGATTGTTCAGTGTGTATGAGCATAAGTTATGACTGTCAACTACAGTACATGTACCCGGTTGATTTTGTGAATGACGTTTTCCAGAATTTCTCCCCCCCCCCTTCCAAATTATAGATTTTGATCTGCTCACTGTCTGAATCTTGACACGTTTTGTTTTTGGCTGGGTTTGTTTTGTTTGTAAATTGTACCATTCTTGCGTGTACAGCTGTGTGTGAAGGGATGGTTTTGTATGTGTTCATGTACAGTATACGTATGGTACCAAGTCGTTTGTAGAGAAATGAATGTGGTTTTCCTGAGCTTATTCTGATATTTGTCTTGCCCAGTGCATTAACCTGCTAATTTTATTCCCAATCCCAGTGGTCTGGAAACCTTGTCACTGTGCTCCAGCACTCACCAAGTCTGTTGCCGTTTTGTTTACCATACAATGCACCACACTCTGAAATAAACACACGTAAGCCCTCGAGGCTTCCTGGAAAAACTAGCTCTCCAGTATCAGACACTGTCCAAATATTTGATCATAATACAATGACCCATGATGATGGGAGTTTAGAATCCAACCAGATGCAAAGAACTTGGCGTGTTGACAATCACAGGAATTCCCAGAACGATGATAGACCCTTGTAGTCTTGCACGTGCATAGTGCTTCATGTATCGTAGGCGCAGACTTAACTCACTCAAGTCTGAGAGCCAATGGAATGACCTCAGGGGTTACTGGAGTACATGTACAATGCACCCCCACAGGCCTCTGGTTATCTGCATCGGCCGTCGGCCATGAATTGGGGTGTGATTGTGTTGAAACAGAAAGTGCCCCGTGATTGTGTACAGAACATGTTCAGAATTACCCTGCATTTCCTCCTTCCTATGCATGGTTTTTTTTCACCCATGCTTGTTGACTTCATCGTAACATCGTGGTATAGCACTCGCATTTACTCATGTTGAGCAGACATCTGGAATTCTCATTTCTCATTTCTCATCAACAAAGCCCTACTCATCTAGTGTAGGAAGTAACCCTTCTCATCGATGTACATGTAGCTTCTTTTGGTATTGTTGTCTCTGATGTTCTCATGCACTTGTACATACATGTATGCACACATGTACAATGTACCGTAGGTACAGTACTGATGTGATGAGTGTACAGGTGTTATTGACAGTGTACATGTACCGATATGCCATTTCTTCAAGCAGCATGCCCACCCCTTCTCTATGTCAAACAGCGCGTTTACCCTTTGATTTCCTCAACTTGAGCTTTCTGCATGTACTCGTACACTGTATATATTGGTATACGTATGTACTTCAGTGCAACATATTTCGTCTCTGATACTGTAATTTGTGCTAGGATTGGGAGTACTGTATGACATCTTTTTGGATATTGGAATTGTGAATGTGGTCCACCTGTGTGCAGAGATTTTTATCACCACATTCATGTTACGTGTAAAACAAGAACTTGTTTTTGTTAGCCTTTGTGGTGAATCTGGCTCATTTTGTGGCTGGTAATTTTCTCATGCTTTATTATTTTTCAGCAGGTGAGGGCTGCCAGTACTTCTCCTAGATCAACTTTGATCGTGTACGTTTACCCTGCAGCTCATGCCAGTGATGCGGCCTGTTTTATGTGGAGCAACAAATATCGTGGACCCTAACACTCCCTTACAGGTACCTGGCTTTTCTCTCATTTTTTGCAAGTATAAACATATAACTGTAGTACATTTAATATGCTTTTTTTCTGTTCTAACTTCAACCTGATCTTCCATCCTTGTGGAATGTTTGACATGTAGAGGAATTTTGTAAGATTTGAGATGGTAGAACCCAGACTCTCTTTTATAAGGGGCTTGATGCCCCTTGAAAATTTAGGCAAAAGGGACAATGGAAATTAGAAGATTTAAGATGGGTGCCGGTCCTGTACGTGTGTGGTATACCTGCTTAAAAGGAATTAGGGATCTCTTAATGTCCTACGAAGTTCTCTTCAGGTAGAACAAGGATAAAAAGAAAATTGGTAATTTCTAATAGCACTGGTCACATTTGCCGCTATTGATTAACACTCTGGAATAGGAATTGAGCAGTGCATGTAGCGCCAACATGCCAATATACCGCCTACATGTACATTGTACATGTACCCGCTGCTTTATGCCTGCTCTTTGAATGCCAGGGGGAGGTTTTGCTCTGTCCGTCTTCTGTCTCCACAAGGCTTTTAAAATGTTAAAAATGTTTAACTAATCAGCCGAGACGCACTTGTCACTTTTTATCTGATTTTCATTTGGTTGTGGGTGCTGGTTTGAGTCATAATGAACGCTCACTTCCTTATTCTGCCAGGCTGTGCTGAGCGTGTCCTCGATCAAACCGATTCGCTAGGGATGAGCAATCTGAATAAAAATTGATGACAGTGTAAGAAACGTGGCTGTATGGGTGTTTACACAGTGCACAGGTGCAGATTGAACATGTGACGGGTTTATTGATTTGTGCTGAGGAATAGTCACATTAAAATTATTCATGATGCTTGCATGTATGCGAATGCACATTGCCACAGTCAATCGAACAGTTAGGCTAGTCCTACAATGTAATACCCCCCCTCCTACAGCAACCTCAACATTGGGCAATACACTATGTTGCATTGTTCATAATTTTATTCACAAGTCCAGTCCTTGGACACCTGCTGTGCAGCTCAAACTTGGTTCAGTATGGTGGTAACATTTATTGTTCCTGTGAAACATTTTTTTCTCCCTGGACTGTACCCTCCCCTACCCTGCATTAATTCTGTCTGTGCCAATCAATTGCACTTAAGTTCATCAACCAATTACATGTAGATTAGATTACTCCAAGTCCATATTTGTTGACAGATTTCCTTTCAACAACTTGATCTTAATTACTTTTGCTCCACCACATCAGTCAATATTGAGCATTAGTAATTTCCCATTAACACCTGCCCAACACACATGTATTGACTTTGCCATTCAAGGTGTTCTGTACACAGTTCTTACTTGGACATACAGTACATATAGTGGTAGTGCTTGTGGTGTGAGTCACTGGTAACTCCAGGCTGCATAGTACATGTGTGGAGTTCCTAGTCTCCTTCCTTTTGAAATCTTACATGTACCCAGTAGACCCAATGAAAGGACCCAGAACTAGTCTTTCTTCGCTCTCCATGTTAAGTAAAGAGGCTAAACAACATCCTCTGTAGACAGTGCACACACAGAGATCCCCATATGCCTTAAAAATGACAGGTGTTGCTATAGCAAAAATGTGCCCTTATAAGGCATTGATTTCACAACAGTTGCCCTACATTCTTTTCACTTGTCTTTTCCTCACTGCTGACCAAAACTGAGCAGTGAGTTCTTTTCAGTTCACCAGGAAGAGGTAAGTTTACAAGTATCTCTTGGTACTTGCTGTCAGCTAATATCAGTTTCACTTTCATGCATGCACCTGCTACCAGGACCCCTTTTGTGTTACACTTACATGTACATGTTTGGCACAGTAAATATTGCTTTAAACCTGACCTTGCTATACCCATATATATCGGTAGGAAAAAGATTATTTGTCTATGTACACGTATATGTTTTATCAGAACTAATTTACCAAAAATATGACAACAATCAATGCGTACATGTACCATGGCAAGTATTAGAATAAATAATTCCAGTTGAACTTGAAGGGAAATCTCTGCATTTTATTATGAAAACAAAAAAACAAACACACTTTGTGACTGGCCGCCTACATGCACTCTTACATGTGACAGAGGTCATATTTTAGTGTCATTGACACGATTTATAGATTTAAAAACCAATTTCATTGCAAACACCGCAAGTGAATGGCTTTTGTAAATGTCACATTGTGCATGACTCTGGAACAGCAAGTCTAGTGAGCTGACATGTAGACTTTGGCTTGTTTGTTTTGCATACGTGATTTTAGTTACATTGTACTGCTGTGTGTTTCAACAATGCTTGAAGCATTGAGTGTCTGATGTACATTGTAAGATGGAGCTCGTTGTCATGTTACAAGTAGAAAACAGAAAACTCCCCATTTGATCTAAGGAGATTTCCCCAGTTTGTGGAAACAGTTTTCAACTCATCGGTGTGCCGTGAAGGACTGACATTGTGCCATGTTTACACAGAACTCGTGATTGTCATGCAAATCACCCTGTTGTGCATGGTGTACATGTACATGTAAGTGCATGCGTTTTCTTTCAGGGATTTACAAAGTTTTGTTGCTGATTTCTTTTTATGTGTCCACATTGGTTCCATTTGGGTCAGCTTATAAAATTATGTTTACAAACATGCCAGTTCATTGAACTTTTGAGGCAAATCAGGGTGCTGTTCATGTACATGTACATTACAAAGTGAAATTTCATTGTGCTTTTTGGGGGATGTACTTTGTAGGGTCAAATCCAGCTGTTGGTCTTGCTCTGTGTCCTTGGGCAAGCTACTTTGCCTCAATTTGCTCCTCTTCACCCAGGAACTGGCATTACCCACTACTGTACATGTAGCTTGGGAGCAACCTGATATGGGCTGGCATCCAATCCAGGGGAGAAATGGAAGTACACTCAGTCATTTCATTAACTGAACCAGAAAAAAATCAATAACCTTATCAGCCATGTGGGTATTTACATTGGCTCAAGACAAGCTTCATTATTTCTTATCCTCTGTGGACATTCTGTGCATTGCCTAATGGCACTTTCATACCAAGGCCTCAATGTGAATTACCTGTAGGACAACAAAGGACATTTCACATCCATGCACTTGTTACAGTTTATAATTAACAATTCCATAATGCATGCACTGATATCATTAAATATTTATTATTTATTCAAACTATTACGGCAGCAGGAAGGACTAGTTACAAGGTAGATTATCATATTTTGTTTCAGGATATTTAAGGTCAGAAATATGTGTACAGTGTTGACATTTACAATTTCACATGTACCGTGGTGTGTGGGCGAATTTGTTTGCCCTGTTAGGCAATAAATTGACTTGCATGTACATGTATTATAACCGGCCTTGTGTATCAGGGAGATAGGCCTACATGTACATGAAGTTAACATGTTTGCACTATACAGGTACTATATATTCAGCGTCTCCCACAATGATCCATGGCATTTTAATTACACCCAAGGTATGTTTTAAAAATTGTGCTGGTGTGAAACTGAGGGTACCATTTGGCCCAGAGAGTATCATAAACCCCATGGACCATGTTTAGTGTACATGTATGTGCATACATGTACATGTACATGTAACGGTACTTCATGCAATTTTGGGGCAGCTTAAGGATTCTTGTTTTGTCAAACACTCTTTTGTCTTTTTTCTGAAGGAAACTGATCAAATCTTTTTCCTCATACAATTGTAGGACCTGTTGGTGCCTGAGGCCTGCCATATTTGTATTTTGGGCATTCTTGAGATTTTTATCCCACATTTTTCCACACACTGTACAATCACATTGTGCCCAGTCC